GATATTATTCCCCTTAATTGGGATGAAACTGGAACCTTTGTGGATTGGAAAATTCAACCCGCATGGCATATGTGGGAAGGCGACCTAGCTGATCGGGTGGAAATCAGATGCCATATTGCGCATATGGTGGTACTACTCTTGGTAACAACTTTCTTTCGTATCATATATCAAACCACATTGTTCGTGGGGAGATGGCCTAGCTGATCGGGCGTGATCGGACTCCGTGCTAACAAAGACGGTGGTATATCGGTGCTAATGATCTCCCAACCAAAATTATATATGAAGTTTGTATTTTGGAAATTATTATGTTTTAACTGGACGTTTGGATATTGTTGATTGTGACTTGCTATTTTTTTATGTGTTGCCTTTTCTTATATGGGCATTCTATTTTGAAAGAGGATTTTTAGCTATACATACTAGTTCTATTCGACAGTACTAACGTCCTTTTTACCGGGAGTGCTGCATCTTTAATGGATGCAGATGGTTCTTCAGTAGGCGGCATTGATCAGTGATAGCAGTACACTCTTTTCAGCTGATTGGGTGAGCCCCACTTCATTCCAGGGTCATGTATATTTTGTTTCTCATGTATAGTGTTTTGAGTTATAGCCGGGACCTTGTTGCCGACATTTTCATATTACTCTTCTATTGTATTTAGAGGCTCCGTAGACAGGTTGTGGGTTATGGTTGATGTTGGGAATTATACTAGAAATGTTGGTACTTGGAAATTATGTTTTTTATTAATTCTATGAACTCGTAATGTTTTGGAAATTATGAATGAAGCCACTAATGGGAATGAAAAGGGAGTTGTCAATAAAATCTTTTCAGTGATTGATTAATGGAGTACATCTCCTCTTTATTCATGGATGAGTTTGGGTAGAAGTAAGTCTAATAGGCTTGCTCGGTCGGGTTCTCTCGGTTGAGCGCCGGTCGCGCTCCCTGAGTTTGGGGCGTGACAGTAGGCTTAGTAATCGAGTGAATGATTCGAACTCGAAGTAATGTAGCCTGTAGGCGTAGTAGTCGAGTGAATGTTTCAAACTCGAAGTTATGTAGCCCGTAGGCGTAGTAGTCGAGTGAATCTTTTGAACTCAAAGTAATATAGCCCGTAGGCATAGTAGTCGAGTGAATGTTTCGAACTCGAAGTAATGTAGCCCGTAGGCATAATGGTCGAGTGAATGTTTTGAACTTGAAGTAATGTCGCCCGTAGGCGTAGTAGTCGAGCGAATGTTTCGAACTCGAAGTAATGTAGCCCGTAGGCGTAATGGTCGAGTGAATATTTCGAACTCGAAGTAATGTCGCCCGTAGGTGTAGTAGTCGAGCGAATGTTTTGAACTCGAAGTAATGTCGCCCGTAGGTGTAGTAGTCGAGCGAATGTTTTGAACTCGAAGTAATGTAGCCCATAGGCGTAGTGGTCGAGTGAATGCTTCGAACTCGAAGTAATGTAGCCCGTAGGCGTAGTGGTCGAGTGAATTTTTCGAACTCGAAGTAACGTTGCTCGTAGGCGTAGTGGTCGAGTGCTTGCTTGCTCGAAATCGAAATAAAAGTAGCCCGTAGGCTTAGTAGTTGAGTGACAGCTTGCTTGAACCCGGTGATTTATCTCAATCCTATTTGTGTAATAAATCTCGAAATAGAGGAAGTTTTCTTGGATATAATATATCGGTAAAGAAAAACTTTTTTTGCAAGTCATTATACATGCATTTATGCTTTGCGTCAGGGCTCGGGCCAACTATATGAACATGGTTCGTTTTGACCATTTGGATCTTACAACTTTTCCTATTGGGACCCTATTGTTGTGAAATAACTTTCTTGCATCGGAACTTGATATATTTGAGGGCTAAGGCCCCTCAGTATTCGAGGTCAATTGTAAAGAGGCCTCGGATACTGTCGTATTGTTTCCAAGTACAGCGCGATCATTGGTTGCGTCATTAAAAACCTTGCCGAAAAACCCATTTGGGATAAAACTGGTTTAAGGGAAAAAGAGTGCAACGCGTGCTTTCAGACCTAAGGCTTCGTATTGAAGGATCCATCTTAGCTCCTGATTGGACTTCTGCAGGGGTTAGTTTTGAAATGTAAATGAATACGGGAGGGTCGTACCTTAGAAGCAGTATCGTTTTAGATGCGACACATTCCTATTGCTTGATAGTTGTTTGCTGTTTATAATGTCTAGCTTATATGATCCTTTTCCGACGTTTTCGAGAACCTGATATGGTCCTTACCAGTTCGGTCCTAGTTTTCCTTCGTTTGGATTTTGGGTATTGAGGGTGAATTTTCTTAGCACTAAGTCCTCGAGCTTAAAATGGTGGAGCTTGGTCCTTCGATTATAGTATCTTTCGATTCGTTGCTTTTGGGCGGCCAATTGGATGAGAGCAGCATCTCGTTTTTCATCCGATAATTCGAGGCTAGTGTTCATAGCCTCGTTATTTGATGCTTTTGTTGTATATTGAAATCTGGCACTGGGTTCACCGACTTCGACTAGTATCAAGGCTTCGGAGCCATATACTAAGGAGAACAGGGTTGCCCCCGTACTAGATTTTGATGTCTTTCGATATGCGCAAAGGACTTCAGGTAGGATTTCTCTCCATTTTCCTTTAGCACCGTTCAACCTCTTCTTTAGGTTTTGAATGATAGTTTTGTTCGTTGATTCAGCATGTCCGTTCCCACTGGGGTGATATGGCGTTAATAATATTCTTCTTATTTTGTGGTCTTCGAAGAATTTCGTCACTTTGCTGCCGACAAATTATTTTCCATTGTCACACACTATTTCGGCGGGTATCCCGAATCGACATACGATATGATCCCATATAAAGTCTATAACCTATTTCTCTCTTACATTCTCGAACGCCTGTGGTTCAACCCATTTAGAGAAATAGTCAGTCATAAATAAAATGAATTTAGCTTTACCTGGGGTTGATGGCAGAGGGCCGACGATATCCATTCCCTAATTCATGAATGGCCATGGGGATAAGACTGAGTGAAGTTTCTCTCCGGGTTGATGGATCATTAGTGCAAACCTTTGACATTTGTCACATTTTAGAACAAATTCCTTTGCATCCTTGCCCATATCGATCCAATAATACCCTGCCCTGATTATTTTTCGGAATAATGAATCGGCACCGGAATAATTCCCACAAGTACCCTCGTGCACTTCACGTAGGATGTAATCGGTATCTCCCGGACCTAAGCATACTGCCAATGGTCCATCGAATTTCCTTCGGTATAGCATTCCATCTGAAGCCAACGTGAATCGAGAAGCTTTGGTTCGTAGAGCCCATGAATCTTTAGGGTCCGATGGGAGCTTTCCATTCCTTAAATATCCAATATACTTATTTCTCCAATCCCAAGTTAAGCTCGTAGAAGTTATCTCGGTATGACCTTCTTCGATCACTGATCTCGAGAGTCAAACGACAGTCCCCGAGTTTAATTCACCTTCCTCGACCGATGATTCCAAATTCGCAAGTGCATCAGCCTCACAATTTTTCAACAATTTTTCCTGAATTGGACCATGTTAGGTGTTGTCCTAATTTTCTTACCATATTTGGTTTTTCTATCTCTTGAAGGAAAGGGCAATATATTTACCATAATTGGGTTTTCCTTCTCGTAGAAGGAAATTATAAATCTTTCATATTGGCTAGTCCTTTTTCTTGTAGGGAAAGGTTTTAGACCTCTATAAATTGAGGATCCTTCCTTCTCATTCGTCGGCATCCACAATGTAGCCATATCGGGTTTGAGAGTCGTGTTTAGGGGGAGAACTTTACGGGACAAGTGTTAGTGTGTCACTTGTGTTTGCCTCTTCGTGAGGTTGCTCTCTCGATATTTTGTACTCTCTTTTAATATAGTGGATTGCTCATCTCCGCCATGGACGTAGGTCAATTGACAGAACCACGTTAAATGTTTGTGTCTCTTTTGGTAGATTTCTCTTTTACTTACTGATTTATCGTCGATCAAGGTTTGTTTTACTAGCTCCCGCATGACACCTGATTATTTCGGTCCTAACAAGTGGTATCAGAGCGAGGTTCAAGACAAGTTCATCTTGGCGGGTTCAGTTCTAGCCGCAACCTATTTGACGGTAATCATGATTTTTATCTGAGAAATTTTACCGGAGTGCTACGCACGTTGAGACAAACTTTGTGGTGGAGATTTGGAGATGCAACTTGTTGCAGGTTATGTGAAGAAGGTGGATCAAGTTTATTTTATCAGAAAATCCAGGCCAAGGGGGAGAATAGTTAGGTGTTGTCCTAATTTTCTTATCATATTTGGTTTTCCTATCTCTTGAAGGAAACGGCAACACATTTACCATAATTGGGTTTTCCTTCTCGTAGAAGGAAATTTTAAATCTTCCATATTGGCTAGTCCTTTTTCTTGTTGGGGAAAGGTTTTAGACCTCTATAAATTGAGGATCCTTCCTTCTCATTCACTAGCATCCACAATGTAGCCATATCGGGTTTGAGAGTCGTGTTTAGGGAGAGAACTTTACGGGACAAGTGTTAGTGTGTCACTTGTGTTTGCCTCTTCGTGAGGTTGCTCTCTCGATATTTTGTACTCTCTTTTAATATAGTGGATTGCTCATCTTCGCCATGGACGTAGGTCAATTGACCAAACCACGTTAAATGTTTGTGTCTTTTTTGGTAGATTTCTCTTTTACTTTCTTATTTATCGTCGTTCAAGATTTGCTTTACTAGCTCCCGCATGACACCTGATTATTTCGGTCCTAACAGACCAAACCAACAAAAACTATATAAGTTTCTCTTCTACGCAAGGAAGAAGAGATTAAATCTTACTTTAGCTATGGCAAGAAAGATGAGCAAAGGTAGACAAAAGATTGAAATGACCAAAATGTCAAAAGAAAGCAACCTTCTTGTAACCTTCTCAAAACGTCGTTCTGGACTTTTCAAAAAAACTAGTGAACTTTGTACACTTTGTGATGTTGAAATAGCCATTATTATTTTCTCCCCTGGCCATAAAGTTTTCTCTTTTGGGCATCCTAATGTTGAGTCAATTATCGATTGTTTCCTTACTCGTAATATTCCTAGTAGCACTACTGCAAATTCTTCTTCTACAACTTGTCAACTTGTTGAGGCTCACAGAAATGCAAATGTTCGCGAATTGAATAAGCAGCTCTTGGAGATTCTCAATCAATTAGAGTTTGAGAAAAAACGTGAAGTTGAAATTGTGAAAATTAACAAGGCAAAAATAGGGAAGAATTGGTGGGAAAGGACAGTAAATGAACTTGGACATGCTGAATTGGAACAGTTGAAATTAGGAATGGAGGAACTCAAAGCAAATGCAGAAAATATTTATTGAGTCATCAAATACTCCTGCATTTTTTATTGGAGCTTCTTCATCTAATGGAGGCCAAGCTGATGTTAAAAATGTCACAGGCCTTGGACTTTCCATGGCCACTCATGGGCATACAATTCTTCCCTGATTAACTGAGTTAATCAAGAAATTTTACAATTTTAGGTCAAGAGGTTAATCATATCGAGGCTTTAAATTAATTCTTAGTTCTAATATACTACTATATTTGAGTAATATATGAAATCTTTATTTATTATACTATGCAAGATGTCTAGACAATATGCATATTAATTTAGGCTATTGTCGTGGTTTGGTGTTTTTATCATCCTAAAGTGAATAACGAACAAAGAAGTTTACAGTGATTTCACTCCAAACTTATTCTGCATTGGGCTTAATTTTTCCCTGAAAATATTGCTCCAGTAATTTTATACATGTACCAAACATTCAAAGTTGTGTTTGAAAAAAAAAGGAGAAAGGAGGAAAGCTGATAAATTAATTTAACGAGACTAACCAAATAAAGTTGTTGTTGGAGCTTTGTCCCATAAATCTTGAACCTTCTTATTATCTTTTAAGGGCAGTTTTACTCATTAGGTCACTCAAAAAATATTTACATGTAATTCTCTATAAAAAGTGGGATCTGTAATTTTGAAAAGGAGTCGGGTTTCATTGTATAAGGTAAAGGTGACCAACCAATAGTGAATTTTTTTTATATTGCCGTTGTATTTAAGTAAAATTCTAAAATTTGAATAGTTCGACGGAGAGAGAGTCATATTTAAAGGATTTAACTTATACGTACCGGCATTGCAAAAATTTTCTTTCACGTTCAATGAATTTTAATGTAACGACCCGACTGGTTATTTTGGGCTCCAGTGCGTTGTTTGGCGGTTTGAGGCCGTGAGTAGCTTCACTTCATGTTTTGTGACTTGTACGTGTAGTCGGAATTGAATTTCAAGAATTTCGGAGTTGTTTCGTACGGAAAATTCTCAATTCGGAAGCTTAAGTTGGAAGAGTTGACTAAGGTTTGACTTTTGAGTAAATGACCTTGGAATCTGGATTTTAAGGTTCCAATAGGTCCGTATGATGATTTCGGACTTGGACGTATGTTCGGGATTATTGGTAGTCCGGGAGCATTTCGACGCTTATTTTGGAAAGTCGGTATTTTGAAAGTTTTAGAATTTCTTAAGTTTGGTTTGAAGTGAATTTTGATGTTATCGATGTCCGTTTAGGATTCCGAGCCTTGGAATACGTTCGTATTGTGATTTATGACTTGTTCTTAAAGTTTGGCGTAATACCGGAATGTTTAAGTATGAATCAGACGCAATCGTCGAAGTTTGAATGTTTGAAAGTTGAAAGGAAGGTTTGGATCGTCGATTCATAATTTTGATGTTGTTTGGTGTGATTTGAGGCCTCGAGCAGGTTCATGTTATGTTTTGGGACTGGTTGGTGTGATTGGATGGGGTCCCGGAGGGGTGTGATTCAGAGTGGTTTCAGACCATTTTTTCTTGTTTTGCAACTGCTGGTGCTGGTGTCTGGTTTTGTTATTCACGAACGTGAAGGGTCTCACGCGTTTGTATAGAAGGATTTTTGGGCGGCTAGGATTTGCTCATCACAAACGCGACACAGAGGTCGCGAACGCAGGGAAGAGCCGAGGCAATCTACGCGAACGTGACATGGAGGTCGCGAATGCAAAGAAGGCTGAGTGGCTGCGAAGCAGAAGGCCTTTGCAAATGCGAGGGGCGAAGTGCGAACGCGAAGGGGTAGCTGGATATCGCGAACGCGATCAGGTGGTTGCGAACGCGAAGAAGAGCGGGCCTGGGCAGACTTGATTTTTACACGGGAATTGGTTCATTTCTCTCTCATTTTCAATTGGGTGGGCAATTTTTAGAGCTCTTCAAGGGGAGATTTTCGTCATCTACGGCAAGGTAAGTAATTCTCACATAATGTTAGTTAATTACATGGATTCTACAAGGATTTATACATGAAATTTTATAAAGAATGTGGGATTTTGAAGAAAACTTAGAATTAGGTATTTTTAGATTTTTACCATGAAATTGGACATGGAATTAGGAATAAATTATATATTTGAGTTCGTGATATTGTGGGTAATGATTATCTTCAAGAATTTTCGAAATCCGTGTACGTGGGCCCGAGGGTTGACTTTTCGAGCGGAGTTGGAAATTATTATAAATTGTTAAATTATATGCATTTGGAGTATATTTTGATTGAGTTGCACATTGTTTAATTAGTTTCGGATCGTTTGGCTTTGAGCTGAAGTTTCATGTCTAACCTTCTAAGGGGGAAACTACCCCCTAGGTGATATAACTGTTATGTGCTACTAGTTGTGGGTGCTACGTACGCACGAGGTGACGAGATAACGTACGTAGCTTAAGCATGTTTATGTCCGGGTAGACTTAAGACTTTATAATATAATATTTGAATTATTTAAACTCATTTTTGCTAGCTTAATTAAGTGAATTTATAATTGAAATTGATTTAGGAATATATATTAGTCTGAGCCTTATCACCTTGAGTTGTTGGCAAATTATCTGATAAACGGTAAATGGTATATCCACCTTATGCTCATATATTGTATTGTAAGCACGTGTCTAGTAATTCGATAAGTTCCTTCATTTCTTGTGGAGCGGGCTCAACGCCTCGGCAGTATATTGAGATGCATCTCTGGTTCGTGTCGGTCGACCCTCGGCAGTATACACACCACTCTGGATCGGGCCGTACAACCTCTGTATAATCGTGCGTTATATCGCTAACAGTCCGAATATTCACGAGATTATCCTTCCACTAATGCATGGCATTTTATATGGTATTCCTTATCCGTTTGATATTGGAACTTTATATTTTCTGAGCTATTGAGATAGGATACGAGATTGAGAAATTTTCATAGTTAAAAGAAATTTTGAAAGATCATGTTAGTTACAGGTTGTACCTCACTGCTATTGTTGCGCTTCATATCTGTTTATGAATTATCTTACTGATTTATTGGATCACTAGTGAGTGTCGATGTTGACCCATTGTCACTACTTCTCCGGGGTTAGACTAGATACTTACTGGGTACACGTTGATTTACGTACTCATGCAGCACTTCTGGGATTGTGATTCGGAGGTCCATAGTGGAATTTGGCTTGAAGTGGCGAAAGTTGAAATTTTAGAAAGTTTGACTGGGAGTTGACTTTTTGATATCGGAGTCGGAATCCGATTATGAAAATTGGAATAGGTCTGTAATGCGAAATGTGACGCGTGTGCAAAATTTGAGGTCAATCGGACGTAATTCGATAGGTTTCGGCATCGGGTGTGGAAGTTGAAGTTTCAAAGTTCCTAGATTTCGATTTGAGGCCTCGAGTATGTCCGTGTTATGTTATTGGACTTGTTAGTACATTCGGACGGGGTCTCGAGTAGCTCGAATGAGTTTTGGACGAGTTTCAGATCATTTTCACTTCATGTGCAAAACTGGAGGCTGCTGATTCTGGTATGATCGCACCTGCAGTTGGTTTACGCAGGTGCGATGGCCGCAGAAGCGACAAAGGCGTCGCAGATGTGAGAATAGTGCTGGGTGAGGAAGACCGCAGAAGAGGATATTTGGGTGCATATGCGATGCCGCAGGTGCAGAGTTGGAGGGTGTGAGCAGAGGTCGCGGGTGCGATGAGATTTTCGCACATGCGATGGCGCAGAATGGGCAGGGAGTTGCAGAAGCGAAAATGGTGAGGAAGTCGGGCAGCGCAGGTGCAAAGTGTTTCCGCAAAAGCGGTAGTCGCAGGTGCGACGAATTTTTCACAAATGCGGATGTGCTGTACAGAATGTTATATACAAGGGTTCACGATTTTGGCTTCATTTTTACATTTTCAAGTTCGGATTGAGGCAATTTATGGAGCAATTTTCACCATATGAATTGGGGTAAGTGTTCGCTACTCGGTTTTGGTTATATTCCATGAATCTGTCTTCGATTTTAGCTTTTGGTTGATGAATGTTAAAAAGGAAATTGGGGGTTTTGGCCTAAAGTTTCTTAATATGATTTTTTGAGTTTTGAACATCGAATTGAAGTCTGATTTGAGTGAAACTAGTATGGTTGGACTCGTAATTGAATGGGTTGTTAAATTTTGTAAATTTTCTCGGGTTCCGAGATACAGGCCCGGGTTGGGCTTTTGGCCGATTTTGGGTTTTTGATTCTAGATTTGATCTTTTTCTATCGGGATTGGCTCCTTTAGAGCACCGCTTGGCTTGCTCGACATTGGTATTGGCTTGTTTGAGGTACGTAACTCTTCTAATCTTAGTGCTGAGGGTATGAAACCCCAAAATACGTATTATGTGATTTGTGTTGAGGTGACGCACATGCTAGGTCACGGACGTGTGGGCGTGCACCATGTGAATTGGGACTCTGTTGTTTCCATGGCACTGAATAGTGACCCTATTTTGTTGATATCCGTGTTTTCACCATGTTATAAAGTAATTGAGCTATCAATCATGCCAGATATCATGTTTAGGCTTTATGCCGATATTGTTTGGACCCATAGTGGTCGTTTCTTACTGTCATCTCACTGATTTCATTGATATTTCGTACTCAGTCATATTCATGCATTCGGTCACTCCCAAACTCGGGGAGCGCGACCGGCGCTCAACCGAGAGAACCCAGCTGAGCAAGCTTATTAGATTTCCTTCTACCCAAACTCAGCCATAAATAAAGAGGAGATGTACTCCATTAAATCAAACATTTAAAAGATTTCATTAACAACTTCCTTTTCATTCCCATTAGCAGCTTCAATCATAATTTCCAAAATATTACGATTTATAGAATTAATGTAAAACATGATCTCCAAATACCAACATTTCTAATTCAATTCCCAACATCAACCACAACCCACAACTTGTCTACGGAGCCTCTAAGTACAATAGAAGAGTAATATGGAAATGCCGGCAACAAGGCCCCAGCTATACCTCAAAACACGGTACATGAGAAACAAAAGATACATGACCTCAAAATGAAGTGGGGCTCACCAAATCAGCTGAAAAGAGTGTACTGCTATCACTGATCAATGTCGCCTGCTGTAGAACCACCTGCATCCATTAAAGATGCAGCGCCCCCGGCAAAAGGGACGTTAGTACTGTCGAATAGCACTAATATGTATAGCTAAAAGTCTTCTTTCAAAATAGAATGCCCATATAAGAAAAGGCAACATATAGAAACAGCAAGTCACAATCAACAATATTCAAATGTCCAGTTAAAACATAAAAATTTTCAAATACAAACTTCATATACAAATTTTGGTTGGGAGATCATTAGCACCGCTATATCACCGTATTTGTTAGCACGGAGTCCGATCACGCCCGATCGGCTAGGCCATCTCCCCACGGACAATGTGGTTTGACAGGTGATGCACAATATTTCAATTTCATCCCAAATAAGGGGAATAATCACAATCCACCCCTACACTTTCACGTGTAGTTTCAGGTGTGGGCCTTACGACCCACCCTTCTTCGGTTTTGCTAAAGATGCTCCCAAAAATATTTTTGATTTGATTTTCCCACAAAGGTAACATAAATACAATTGTACTCACCTCAACATTTTTCACATTGTATGAATTCTTATTAGTATTTCCAAACACTCACAACAACAATATTTCCTTGGCTCATTTGGCCATTCACAAGATTCTTTATTTCTGGCACGGTGGCCGTATTTCATATTCCACACTTTCACCTCTATCAATTTCAAAGATCACCATCAAATATCAACATATAGAATATTTCAGCAATCATATAACTCAAATTTATTAGTAATAGGAACTTTAAACACAAAAGATTTCTTTCCAAATAATGGGGCATACGGACCAGCAATACAAGCAAGCATTAGAATCATAAGCAATCAATACACCATTTATTCTTGCAATACTCTTTCCCAGAAATGACAGTATACAATTTCAACACCTGAGTATGTAAGAACTCAAATCACACTGGATATATTTATAAAGCAAGGCATTAGTTAAAGTAGCCACTTATGGGCATGAATTGAGTACAAAATCCTTTAGGAAATTCTATTTTCGAAATCGTTTTTAAGTAATCGAGTCGAGACTCATTTCATATTCTTTATCTCATTCTCTCAAATTATTTTCACTACTAGCCACAGTCATAATTTAAATTCTTGGCACGTTGGCCACACTTTATTTCTTCAATTTACTTATTTCATTTTTCAAGCATCATTAAAGACTAGCAACAATATGGCACTTCCAATCAAGACTTTAGGTACACATATAAGCAATTATGAGTCTTAAGAATATCGAGTTTTTCTCATCCAATTGGTATACTAGTTTTCATTTAAAACACGACTCAAAGCCACAACATTTTAATATGCAAACCATACTTTGAACATCTATCTTTCGACATAAGGCTCATTCAGAATGAACAAGTTTATAGGGAATAACCCGGAATATAGAAGTTAGGAATCTTGAGCCAATCATACTTGATCTTACGGAAACAATATGGAACTCGATTCTAAGAGAGAAAGTGTAGCTAACATACCTCAATTGAGCTTCCTTACACTCTAAATTATTCCAGAAATCTTAGCAACTTCAATCTATATTTAAAATATAATAAATTGAATCAAAATTAGGAAGATGATCATGGTTCTAGCTCATTTGAGCATTTTACCAAACACTAGGTGTGCATTAAGGTTCTAAGGCCCTTTTGTGGAAGATTTCATCATTTCCCAACCCATTGTCTACCATGTTTAGCTCACAACCTTCCCACATACTTCAAGAATACATGCATGTAAGGTAATCACCCCCCATCCCCATGAACTACCTTACTAATTGCCCATTCTAGTTACCTTTCGAAATTAAGAGTTTGGCGATAGAACCTTACCTCTTAGGATGAAGACCTAGGGTGCTTCTCTTGATAATCTTCAAGGGTTTATGCAAGAATTGAAGAGTAACTTGATGAAGATTACTTTCTCCCTCTAGGACACTCTATCTCACTCTAGAGTATCAGATTTTGCTAAAAATGATCTATGGGATGTGTTTTAACGGAATTGTGTCGGGTTTAAAAACCCCAAAAATGAAGTTCCGAAAAAGGTTATGCAGCCGCATATGCGATCGTATAGTGGTTATGCGGTCCGCAAAATGACCGTGAAAATGGGTGCCAGAGTTGGAAAGAAACTGACCTGGTCTGCGGTCACTATGTGGCCCGCAGAGCTGTTCTGAGGTCGCATAATGCACCGCAGAACGGTTTTGCGATCGCATAGTGCACCGCAAAACCTCCCTCCAAAATATCCCAAGGCGGGATATGCAACAAGAATGCGGCCCGCGAAATGGTTATGCGGTCGTACAATGGCCGCGAAATTGGGCATCAAAAATTGCGACCAGTCTGCGGTCCGCAGAGTAGTTCTACGGCCGCAGAAATGCGTACTTCAACCCAACATTTTCCTTAACTCCCCAAGTCTTGGGGAATGTATTAGATTTAGATATTTATTTACTTAATTAACCTCTACGCCTGCTCCGGCATCACGGAACTCTGGTTTTTAGGAAACTTTTCATGGGACCTTACATATTCATATCATATCTCAGTCTCAGTTGTTTACTGATACATCATATCATTGTTGTCGGGCTAGTTTCATGACATTGTGATCCCGTGAGTGGGACTAGAGAGATTGATGACTGAGTGAGGTCGGGGGCCTGTTTGTGAGGATGTTGTCACTATAGCACGTGAGTTGTCCGTGCGATTTCAGATGTAGATATTATAGCACGTGAGTTATCCGTACGACACGTGAATTGTCCGTGCGATTCCAGATATTGATATTATGGCACGTGAGTTGTCCGTGCAGCACGTGAGTTGTCCGTGTGGTTTATAGCACTTGGGCTAAAGGAGCCCCTCCAGAGTCTGCACACCCCTAGTGAGCGCGGTTGTTATTATTGAGGGATAGATCTTCCCTGGACATGGATCTTGTCCGAAGAATTATATACCTAGAGATGGATCTTCTCCACAGACTGGATTGGCCCTACTCGGTACTGAGTGACTGATGATAAGTTGGTGTGTATATTCCGGGATGGATCTTCCCTCGGCCGGATTGGCCATATATAGTACCGAGTGATTGAGCATGATGAGTGGAATGTGTGAGAAAGTGAGATTGAGTACTCTGAGAATGTGAGTGCATGAGTTCATCTCTGAGATACATTGCACTGGCATGAACACATGTTGACAGATAGGCATATGGATGCATTTGACTTACACTAGTTAAATGGAAAGAAAAATGAAACATCTTATTTTTTATTATTGAAAATATTTTTAGGAAAATTATTATTTTCAAACTTATTCATATTTTTGGCAACTTCAGTAAACGATTTGGGTTTTCACTAATGAACTTAGAAGGCAGAACTATTTTCAAAAATCATGATTTTGTTGAGCATCTTATCTCTGAGTTACTTCTTGTATTATTTGCTTTACATTGTTATGAATTGTTATTGGTAATTGGTGGTGGACCCCGACCTTGGTACAAGCTCGTTACTACTTTAAACTAAGGTTAGGTTTGTTACTTATTGAGTACATGGGGTCCGTTGTACTCATACTACACTTCTGCACCTTGCTTGCAGATGTTGGTTGCTGATGTTGTTGTGTTCGATGGGAGCTGGATTGAAGAT